GCAGGTGGTGGAGACTATGCAGTGTAGTGGTTATTCAGTCCACCTCCATTTTTTTTTTGGGTGGGGGTTGGTGAAAAAATATAACACTGATTGTACTTTTAGTAAATATTAAAGTCTTTTTAATTAGAAGTAGATTTGAATTCCAATCTCTCACAGAAAATAAACCCAGTTGATACCCCCCGATCAGCTTTGCATGTGTTTTTTTTTATTCCCTCAGTGCAAGTCATAGGCCTACATCTACTTTTTATAATTCTATGGTGATCTGCTTGTTTTTCCAGCCACCTAACGCCATTTGTTGTAACCCAATATTTAGATATGTACAGCTGCCTAGTTGGAAAAAAAACTAAGGGGGGCTGTGGTGCCATGACCCCATTTTCCAAAGGAAATTGTCTTTGCCAATTTAGCACAAGTATAAAGTGAAATAAGTTTAGTGGAAAAGCAAAACTCAGATGACCAAGCTTTCCACCAACATTTAAACGCATCATGTAATAACGAATCTGGAAGCTCTCTAAAAGAGTGAAATGTAAATGAATTTAATGGTCTGTAGATTTAGGAACATTTTTGAATCTGTAACTATAAGAATTGTGTGTGTATTTTTATTTTGTATTCATAATTTCATAATTTGTATTTGTTTTTGAGCACACATTTATAAGAACTGAAGTTATGCAAAAATGTTATTTACAAATTACAAAACATTACATATCTGGCGTTACAGACTCTAATCTTTTTGAAACAAAATCCTCTCTATATTAGTCTGGCTGTGAAAGCAAAATGTTTTATTTACTGTTAATCTTTGATTGAAAAGGTGGCAATCACATTAGTACTCAGGCGTTTGCTTTGGATTATATCGATCTCCAAGACAGTTTCTGTCCCTTTGCATGATATTTTGAGGCCTTGACAAAGAGATTTGGCTTGTCAGAGGTGTGTCACTCTGTTGCCTCTCCTTTTGCATCTGGTGAGACACGGCTCAGAACAAAGAGCCCGTCGTCTGAAGCCGGTGTGGCGTTACGCTCACTGAGAGTTCACCTGAAACAGTGCACCCGTGGCCTCCAGGTAACGGGCCCTTCTGACTGATGCCCTGCTTGGATTCTTTGACTTTATCAGATGAAGAATCTGAACTTTGTGAATGGCAATACACACAGGCCACGACACATCCTTACCTAGTTACACAGTTCCTCTCAATAATCACAATCATCAAACCACATTTCCTCATAAACAAAAGGATTTACAACCCAAAAAATAGAACTTTTGTTATCAAACCATATTTACACCAAGAAAGCTTTGATAATGTAAACTACACCCGATAAAAGGTAAAACATAAGAAACCAGTGGGATCAGTATATGCAGATTAACCTTGTTTTGTGAAGACTTTTGGCAGATAGTAAATAAGAAGGAGGTTGTCTGAAACACGAGGAGTGATGTCATTCAAAGGACTCCAAGATCTCTGAGAGAGAAGAAAAAAACAAAAAAACGAGTAGCTGCTCAGGGAAGACAGTAATAGGTAAGCTTTCAGCCCCTGCTGTTGGTCACAGTCACACAAACACACTGTTTGTGCTTAAATTAGTAGTTATCACCTTGTTCAAGGAAAACTTAAATATAATTTAATTAGTTATTGATATGGTCATGCTGGCTTATTGAAGATTATAACTAACTGTGACAAACTATAATCCATCTTTGAGACGTTTTGTCTAGTAAAAAAATGCTGTTGTTGAAAAAGAACAATTTTGGGGGGATTTTAATGACTGACTTATGATATTATTAGCTGATTTTATTTATTTATTTTATATCCAGTGCTGTGCCATTTCAGTAACCTCAAGCATTTGGCATGCTGAGGTGAGTGAAGCTTTACTGGTGCAGACAGAAGCTCTGCAAAGATTAATTAACATTATTTTGGTACATCAGTTATGTAGGCTGGGGAGCTCCTGCACTGGGAACAGAACATGTCACCTGTTCTGATTTTTTAATTAAACAGCTTTTACATTGTATTTATTCTATACAGCCGGGAAACTTACAAATAGAGAAATTGGTCAGCCATATAACAAAATTAATTTCCATAATAAAACAGGTCTATTGTCCATAAACTATTTTGAATCTTAGCATAAAGCAAAGCTTTTAAAATTGTTAACCCCTTTTTAATGGAGAAACATCTGGCACACAGTTTACCTGGACCAAACAGGAATCCTACCTGTTGTCTTATGCTTGATGTCCTTGTTTTTATCATTATTATTAGCTGATTGGGTAATTGAATATATATGTATTTGCTTTCCTCTCTTTTTCAGGTTGAAAATGTAGATTTTACATTGTCTGACCTGCTGCAGCGCCACAGAGAATAGATGCAACAAGCTTTCTTTGCCTTAAATTGGTTAATTGCTGATTAGCGATGATTACACTTGGCTGTAATTTGTTAGAATAATTCTACTCCAACATTCTTGCCTTGGTTTGTAAACCTCTAAGCCACCAGCTGTCACAAAGCTACTTTTTCATGCATCCCAAATTAATAGACACTCACTGACTCTGAAGTGGCCTGTTGCTATTGTAACACAAGCCATGTGGCATCCAGCCAAGGCTGCAATAGAAGACACAATTGTTTAGTCTTTTTTTCTTTTTTCTCCATCTTTCTCCCTATTTTTTTTAATGCACACTAATAAGCAAGTAAATGGGGGAAGGATATGTGTGTGAAATCGTGGTGGCCTTTGTTGCGGATAATTAGGTTAGCGGCAAGAGCGTGCAGGTGCTGAGGCTGTGCTGTGTGCTTGTGGTGTGTTATCGACTTGCTCATAGGCTGTCAGGGGTGTCGCACTTCCCATCAGCCCTGAAGCTCAGCAACCTCTTCACTATTAAAATGATCACTTTCAATAGCAGACAAAGGAAAGAGGGAACATATCTAGTGCAGGGTATTTTCCCCACCTCTAATGCTTATCTGCCTTTTGATGTTGCCGTAATAAAAGGCCCATTGGGCTTCCACAATGACCTGCAAAATGGACAAGGGGGCCGATATACTAGGTTCTGACTGTCGCTAGCATTAACTAAAAGGCCTAGACATTATGGAGAGCTGGGGATGAAAGTACATAGAGTGAAAAAAATAATTGAAAAATTGCCTAATGCTAAAGTGAAAGAAAATGGAACTGTGAAAAGGCACTGTAATATTCTGTTATCCCCGGTAAATGCAGCCAAACAAGAGATGCGGCTTGGCATTCTTTTTGAAATGGATGTGGTTCAATTACCTGCATGTCTAAATCTAGTTAAAGCCTCCATTGTCAGGCTTGAAACATAACAGGCAGTTTTGATGTAGTGTTAAAGCGTATTATGCCCTACAACCTACAGAAAATCACGGGAGGGATGACTCCATTCATGATGCGAAGGGAATTAAAGCTCCTACCGAGAACAAGGTTAATTTAATATTTATTCTGTTCCGGACTTCTGTTTGGATCTCTGTTCAGACTGAGAAGCTCTGTGTTTAAACCAGCTGATGGGAGAGGTTACCGTTTAATAGTTCTACATGAGCATCAAGGTTTCATTCTTGTGATGTAATTCTTTTTGCATTTAAAACATGAGCTGTATAAATTGTTAAATGCAGTGACATTTCTAGAAAAGATGTGTAAAATGAATGACTCTTTTAGCACAGAAGCTTAATCCAACTATAGTTTGAGTAATTTAATGTTGTGTTTAGAAATATTTTGAACACTATCACCAGTGATTTGATTGCTGCCACTCCTGCTGTTCATACTTCTTAGAAATCCCCCCTTTTGCAATTAGGATGCCACTCATTCAGCCCCTATATCTTTTAAAAAGATTGTAGGGTATAGAGAGATTGATTTTTGACAATGCTTCATGGTCTCGCAAGGTAGTCCAGACTTCTAGTTCCTGTATTATGCTCTCTTTTGCTTCAACCCATTCCCTGGATTTCTAAAGGATTTAGGCTTTGCAAAGAGAACATATGTTTCAAGTCATTATCCTGCTGCAAATCACCAGTGACACCTTTTTGTTTGGCTGACAGAGTCCATGATATTTAATATTTATAACTCAGAATTCAGTTGCATTTTGCACTTTAAAAATGTCCGAATTTTAGGGTAGAATTTAAGGCTGAAACAATCAGTCAGATTAATTGTGATTAATTGGTTATTGAAATAATCGTCAACCAATTTAGTAATTGATTAATCGTTAACTGGAGTATAAACTCTAAAACACGCCTTAGCTGATAGAGTGATCCACTTACTTATAGTAAGATTTAAAAAAACAGAATTAAAATATTTTGCATTTAAGATTTTTTTTTTTATTTGCCTGTCAATATGCTCTTTGCAAAACTCCTCAAGTGGAAAAGTTTTAGTTTTACCTGGTTTAATGTTGTAAAGTCTTCTTTAAAGAATCTTTTTCTATTCGATTATTAATAGATTAATCAAAAAATAAGTTGACAGATTAATCCATTTGCAAAATAATCGTTAGTTGCAGCCCTAGTTGAATTTCAGTTCCTATTGCACATCTTCACGATATTGTTTGTTGGTTTTATTTGACCAAATCACCAAACTTCCACTTTAGTTCAAGTCCCATTTTTTTATGATTCCGATTGTAAGACGGCTGTTAAATGATTGATTCCATTAGAGTTTAATTTAATCAAAAAGATATTTTCTTTCTATTTCATCACTTTGAATTAAATCACCAACCATCTACCTTACTTCAGTTTGTTCTGTTGTACTTCCTGTTTTGGAGAGTTGCTAAACAATACTAAATATTAAACCTATTGTAAAAAAAAAATGAAAAATAGATTAATATTAAAATATTTTTAGGGATGGGGAACAAAAGGAAATAATAGGAACAGTGTCATCAAGCTCTTTCTTGCAAGTTTAGTTTGTGAATGTGAAGACTGAGTGCCAGTAGCTGAAAATACCATAAGGGTACCCATTGTAACACATTTCATGACCATCCTCATAGAAATCATGTTTTCTTTTTATTTGTTAACTTTTGTTTTCTCAAAGAAAGGTTTGTTTTTCTGCTTTCTTCAGGTAACAGTTAAAATGTACAAACGAGGAGCTCATGGCTGGCTGGGTAAATCCCTCAACGCCACCGCCACCATTCCCTCCAACACCTTAGTGATTTTCAGAGTCAGCGGCGAGGAAGCAGATGCCCAAATCCCTGCAAGCATTATTCACAGCATCACACTTAGCATATGACAAAGTGAAGAGACAAAGGAAATAAAATGGAAGCATTCGGAATGAATCGTGAGCAAATGCAAAAAAACATTTGTTTTTTTTATGAATGAATCTAACTGGATTGTCTTTGTGTGAACGTGGTTAAAAAAAAAATCCCATTTGCCTTTTTTTCCTGCTTCATTCTAAAATTGAGCTTGATGTTAATGAGATTCTTTTGACAATTAGCCTGATTAACTTTGTCATCTTTTATATTTCCAGGGCCGGCCTCCACTTTGCATGAGTTGTTAATTAATCATTATGCTTGCTGACTGGGTCACATCAGTCTGAGCCACGAGTGTTTAATGCTCTAATCGTAGCTGTTAAAACAGGCAGCGTGTGGCTTGACAAGGGTTTCAGTGAGCTTACAGGACATTATTGACAGACTGTAAATGTTTTTGATGTATTAATGTGCTGAGGAGAGATTCATATATAGTTAGAGGCGCACAAGCTCACTTTGTGTTATTGAGGTGTGGAAGTGGGCAAAATGATGCAATGATTTTAAAATATGGAGGGAATTCGGTGAAACAGTATAATTAGGAATCCCTTTAATTGGCATCTTTACATGAAGCATCGTTATATGTGGATACGGTGTTTTATCTGAGAGACTGTTTGGAAAGCAAAACCACTTGTCTTCATTGGTTTAGACTAGGTCTGGGTCAGTTGAAAGTGTTGAAATTCAAGACAATATTTTAAATACTTACTTTAAAAATATTCAAATATTCCCTCATGTCATTTCTATTGTTAAAGTTATTTTAATGTGCTGCTAGAGAAAGTAAAGAAGTGACCAAGGGTGTTACCAGCTGTTTGGAGAATGACTAGATGGAGAGAGAATAAAAACCAAGATGAAGCCAGCCATTAATATTACTAGGCAACCCTGTTAATATATTTGTACAATTTGCCACCAAATTACTCAAGTTCCCTTTGATGGAATTCAGTTTTTCAGACCAGTTCAGCCTAGCGCCTAACCTTAATCTAATAATGAGTTTGTGGATGGAGCTAAAAAATTAGTGTGATGGCTGAGAGATCCTCCAACCTCTTGGCATAAGATGAATAATCAGACATACAATAGGACCCTGCAATAACCACATTGTTTACATGCTTCAGTTTTAACTGAATTTATTATGCACTGTGTAACTGTACATGCAAAATATAAAGTGGTTAGATTGTGGTATTTTTTTTTTTTGTGTGTTTTGTTTTTTCAAGAGATATCAGTGTGATTGCTCTGAATAAGCAGTTTGATGAATGTCTTGTATTCAAAAAATAAACCCAAGTAGAATCCAGAAGCAAAAGTTAAAAATATTTAGAGATGGCTCAAATAGTGAACAATTAAAAAATAATAAGATCACTTGAAGAATGATGTCTTTTAATTGAATTATACTTTTTTAAATACGAGTTCTTTTCAGTCTTTCTCTTCAGATTTGACATACCTTCATGATAAAGTAATCACAGGATGCATGGGTTGTAATTATCTTGTTATGCAGGTTGGTTTACGCTGTATTATGTGTTTTTAAGGAATTTACATGTTCAGTTTGTAGTGTAATAAAGGATTTTGGTTATTTAGCAATGGCAGTCTGCTCTAATCTTTTTCTCCATGTGGCTGCCACCTAGCTTCTCTCTGATGCACTGGAGTTTTAAAATCTTCATTTCCCTTTGGGCTCTTTTCATGTAACAAAAAAGTAGCGCATTTAGCCGATCATCTTCAGATATAATGCTGGATGTAGGACTTACATAGGAGTAGTGTTGGCATAGTGGCTACGTGGAAAAAATGAACCATGAAATATTTTGAAAGCTTTAATAAGTCAAAGTTAGATAATTTCTTTAGATCATTTACTTGTGTCTAAGATAATATCCCAACCTTCCATGATCTCAAAACAATTTGGGGCCAGCCGTCTCTCTGGATGAGTAAGCAGAGGTCCACAGATGAGGTGACCTTTATTCAAGAGTGACTAACGAGAGAAGTCATCAGAAGTCTTGCTTAAAGTTTTCCACCAGCCATGTAAAGGAGGTACTCTGATCAAATGGGGCAATAATTATAGTTTTGTCTCCACATTGAAACATGATGTTGACTGATTCAAGCAAACGTTACTGGAAATGAATGGAGCCAAAACAGGACAAACCTTGAATAATAAATGAAATAATCTGCAAAAGACCAATGACTGTATACAATAAAAATCATCTAGAGATGGATGCAATTAAATAGTTTTACAGCCAAAATGTCAGTCTCAGTGTAAAACTGGTGACTTGAAGCTATGAGCGAAGCAAAATATGGTTTTAAAAAATGATTGAATAAACATGGAAAACTATTAACACTAATATATAAGATTAAAAATTGTGGATGTAACATGATACAACACTTAACCTAATTGCATTTAAAAGTACTCTAATTCGCTAAGATATTTGACAGATACGTATTAGTAAAAGGACCCTCATATACAATCATGTGTCACAACCAGGCCAGAATGTTTTCTCAAAACCGTATTAGAGAGACTAAGGGTATCAATCAACAGCTCACTCTCTGAAAGCATGCGGCATGTCTCCAGCGTGGTTAAAAATGTGGGATTAAGGATGGATGACTGGCCACGGGGACAAAGGAAGCCCTGTAGCAGAGACTGGGAGGAGAAGCTAGGAGGAAATGGACATGGAGACCAGGCTGGAAGTGAGCGTGACAAGGGAACAAGGTAAAACGATCCAACAGAAAATGAATCAATGAGAGTCTCTATTAAAACAGAAGCCCTATTTGGATACCAAGCTTGTGTGAAATTTCTGGTTAGAGTAAATAAACAGTAAATAAGAGGAAATGTTTTCCACTAAACTTTCGTTCTATTGCTTTAGAGCCTCTGACCCTTCTTAAGGGGAACTACACCTTATTGAATCAAGCTGAAAATGCAGAACAGGTGTTTATTTCTGTACTGGGAGGTACTCCAGGTCAGGTGCTCTGTTTGACCCTCCCCCTGGACAAGTAGAGTAAAATGATTCAGAATAACACCTGGTGGTAAATTCCTGGACTGCTGCACTGTACACTGCATCATTCAGCACCTAAGAAAGAGCACTTTCCTCCATCTTGGATATAAGATGCAGATATCCAGGTGTTGTTTAAAACGAATATGACAATGCAGAATTAAGTGCTACATTATGCAGTAGTTATTACTATTTAAAGTTTCAGCATTTACATTTTTCATATCTGAAAAAGCCAATAGAGATCAAAACACTGCGCTTCTTGACAAATTCAAACTTATGCACCATCCATCTTATGCTACTAATGTATCGCCAGTGCTTTGTAGGGCAAACTTATGCACCAACTGGTTGATTTTAAACATCATTTTAATATCAGCTTTTTGACCTGTGGAAAAAGAGATGGGATGTTTGATCACTTTTCACTCCATAAAGCACAAATGATTGAATATGCTTAATGATATTTAAAATCCCCCAAATGAATTTCTGCTTGAAGCTCCATCCTGGTCCAGCTCTGAAAGCAATATGGAGCATATAGCAGCTGAACAGGCAAAATAAAATAGCTGTTAAGCAGCTGCATTTAACCCATTAAGACCCGCTGATACATATGGCTATAGCTGTTTCCATTTTCAGAGGATGTCTCAACTCTTAATGGGTTAATATAAAACTCATGTGTGAGAGGGTTAAGAGAGCCTGCGAGAATAATGGTACAATGAAACACAGTCAAAAACCTCTGAATGCATTTTACAACAGGATAAAAGTGTAATTGTGGCAAAAAATACAACTGCAAGCTACATTTTGCAGGCTTTTATGCAACCACTCGAGCGTGATGATGAAAGGAAGGACAAGCCATCCCTTTTCATGCTCACCGACCTCTGTTCTGTCTCTGCAGAGCTCTCCAAGTTTGGAAAGCAGGAGAATCTATCAGAATTTTTTTTTTTATTCTTGCAGATGTTTAACGATAAATATCATAAAAATTCTATTGAATTCCATGATTTTATATCGGAAAACTAACAAAAGTATTATGCCATTGTGTTTCTAGAAAAGTAAATATGACCACATTAAGGACACTACAGGTAAGAGGTATGCAGAAATTAGCCAGGTTTTGAAACAACCCCTCAAAAGCACTGCTCCATACAGAACAACAAAGGATGTGCAGGAGTGAATGAAGGAAAGCTTTCTTGCCAATTAGTGCAGCAAATGATGGGGCTTTCTGTGCTTCACACAAACCAATGTCTTTTCTCCTCTGTCCCTGGGCTATTGAGAGGGGATACATTAGCCAGGAGGGATAGATGTATGTTGGAGAGGGAATGAAACAGAGAGTTTGCAGTCATACAGCTCACTTCACGCCTGGTGTTTTAGCCCTCTCTTATGATTTCACTCCCAGTGCTCTCACACCGCCTGGTTTTTACCACGTTGCTTGCTGTTACCCTACAATCAGAGAAAATACACAAGAAAAAGCTTAAGTCTTTGTTTCATTGTTAGCTTCCCATTGAGCAGCCTCCAATTAATCTACAATAGGTAGCAAAAATATCAGCAACTGTTGAACCTTTCCACATTTAGTCATCTTAAAACGTCAAACATTCAATTTTATTTGAAAGACCTAAAGTAAGTTGAATAAAAAATGTATATTTTTAAAAATAAAAATCAACTGAAATTGCAGTTTTTATTACCCTCTTTCACTCTGGTACGCCTAAATGAAATGAGGTGCATCTAATAACCTTTTGGATCTCATCTAACAGCTTAACATAGTCGTTGAAGTAAAGGCTTTAGGTGGTCATTGGAGAGTGAAGAAAAACAAAAAAGGGCAAAGTTTACAGATGATTTAAGCACTCTTCTTTTATGCAACAGTAGTTTGTTTTTCTATTAAAATGTGCGCAGCCCTATGTGGGTATTATCCTTTTTAAAATGCAACCTTTCGCAATTGTAATACAACTAAAATTGCACATGAATATGTTTGTTCTCAGGATATTGAAAAGAACATGGCAGTGAATGTAAACACTTCCATTTCAGCCACAGCTCTAGTGCTCATCATTGTGATCTAAATGTAAAAAATACTCCTCATGAATCTGAATATGCTGCTTCATCATCCTCCAACTTCTTCCAGACTTCTTTGTTTTTTTTTCAAAGCAGTAAGGACCAGTTGCAGATCATGGGGCCCATGTGATGCAAAAAAAAAAAAATTCCATTGCAATCTTGTGAAATATAAGAATTTCAATGTGACCAAAAAAAAAAAAAAAAACACCCCAGCGTAAAAACGTTCAACCTATCTTCTAAAAGTGTAAAGAGGGTGAACGTATTGTCAGGCTCAGAAACGACAGGTCCCAGTTTTCGTGGCGGAGAGACAGATTTCACAAAATATTTATTTCAGATGGAACTGCTGAGAACAGCATCAGTGCCTAAGGCAGGATCTTCAGCAGGAGAAGACCACATGTAAGTGAACACCTCTATCTGGCAGAGGATGAAAATAAATGTGAGTCACTAACCTGGTCTTAAAGTTCAGAACCAACCATTCAGCTGTCCAGAGAGTCCAGACGATGATGACCCTGAGGTTGGAGGATAGGCAGGAAATCCGAACCAAGCAGACGAATGAAGGCAGGATAATTCAGATGATGAATCCAAAGCCAGTCTTGAGGACGTGCTCAGAAGTCAGAGCCAAGAGATCAGATATACGAAGAGGTACCAATGGGAAATCCAGGACGGATTCAGGAATCAGTTCCCAGGTCAGCTCACAGAGAATCCAGAAGGAGACCAAAGACAGGTCAGGCAAACAGATCAGAATGGGGGACAGGGAGGCTCAGAGGTCTAAAGGCAGAACAGGTCAGGATCAGGCAATTGTAAAACAATCAGGTATGCTAGAGAAATTATAATATTGACAGTTTTACGCACATGTGTAATGGAAACACAGCTGTTGTTCTTAAGGTAGATCCGTCTGGTTTCTGCAGCTTTATAGCAGGTTTTGGAATCAATACAACCGTTTAATCTAAGGCCGTCTGCAGTCAATTAAAAATTGAATTTTTGTTTATGTAAATCTCCATGTAGATCTCCATCTACATAACCCAGGAGTAATGCAAAAGAAAGGGGATGTCTTGAAACCTTTCGCTGTGGCTGCATTTTTAATGGTACCAATTTCAGAGAAAACACGCAACAAAATGTTCTGTTTTAACTGAAAGCTATTTTCTGACTAAAAAGGCCTAAAGTTTGTTGGACAGAGGGTCTAGAGAACCAGAAATGGAGATGCCTGACCTGCACTGACAGGCTGAGCAATGAGAAAATGAATCAGAGAAACAGCCAGGTCTGCAGGAACTCTAGAGACGCTCCATACCTCTGGAACTCACATTAGAAATTCTGCAACAGGACAAATATTAATTGTGCATCATTCTTTAACCTTTTCTTGTTAGAAATAAAACCACAAGAGACCCTGCTTTCAGCCGGCCACTTACCATTTAGGGGAAGTAGAAACCATAAAGATGTACAGATCAGATAAGACAAAACATTTATTTATTTTGGCCTGAATCTAAAGCTCTACACGCCATAAACTTAGACTTAGGCAAACTTTATTGTGATTTTGTATACGCAGAGTGTAT